TTTTTTTTTTGCAGACATTAATGAGCTCCCGTTGTTTGAGATGGAAATCTTTATCGCCTCTTTTCTCCAATGATTCGAACTCAATCATAATTGTTGTGATTAATGGTGTGGTCTACTGCCTCCATGTTTTAAACTTTGCCCTGTTAAACGTTCATACTAGCTAAATCTTTTAGCGTTTCATGGAAATTTCAGGGCAGTCGTTGTCATCTCTGAAATTTTTTATAAGATGTTTCTTGACGTGCAGTGTATGGACTACTTCTGATCTTCTTCGGCCATTTCTGCTTCTAGAAGGCTAACAAGTCATGATTCCACTAAACCCATCTCAGTGTGATTGCATTGCGTGGATTTGGCGCTGTAACTACCGATCTCAATGGTGTGCCTTGGCAGAATTGGTAATTATTTCGTTATGTGAGGTGTAGATGGGTAAGCCAGCATTTGCATCACACCATTTCTTTATCGTCAAACAAATTTATTCTGAATTGATATAATATTTTTAATAGCTGCTTTTTTTCGGAATGGAATGGAATGGAAGGAATGTGGTGGAGAAATTCTGGGACCCGAGTCTACGTTTAACCTAGAGGGTGCTGATGCAGGTGGTTTCCTCTACAATGCGCTGTTAATGCTACGAGCGGTAGCCATCGCTCCAGTGCCGCGCCGCCATTTATCAAAGAAGATAGCTAGGAGGGCTTACGTTGATGACATCATGGTTGAAGTTAGGGAGGGCAATCCGAGTATATGGAGACGTCCAGGAGACTGTAACTACGATACGGCAGATAATGGGGATCGACAAAGAATTGATGTATCCGAAACTTCAGGAAAACTTGTTCGAAAGTCTCTTATCAAGCTAAGGCAAAAATGTAAAGCGAGTAATATAAAAGGAGTAGAGGCCGTGGAAATGCTGAGAAGAAAACAGAATTGAACTTTTGGTTTGGCTCGTGCACCAAACTCCTTTGTCATGAAAGGTTTTCATTAACTCTGTCCTTTTGGTTTGCTTCCCCTTCGTCGTGGTTGCTAGAAGAAACAAAGGCTGACTCGATCTTTTGCACATCACTCTTAAAATGAGATCGGCAATACCGTATGCGTAAAGACCTCAATGGAGTTTGTAGGAAAAATTGAGCCCTAACATTACTAGAAAACCTATCATTCTCAAGGCATCAATCCAAATTGTATGTAAGGTGGGTAATGTAATAGAGCTCTATCACACACGCATTCCTGAATTTCAGCTCAGGATCGATATTTGCCCAGGACAATCAAGCCGTCCATTTTTCGGGGCCGGTTAGTTGGTATCAGACTCTTCTGGTAAGGTTAAAGAGTTGTGGCGTGTTGAAAAAATATAGGTGAAGAATGTTCATTCAAACAAACAAACATCCTATAGGCAAACATCCTAAAAATGGGATTTATCAGAAGATGAATTACAAAGCTCACCACATCCGAGTAATAGTTATTTTAAATTCTTTCGATCCTGATTGTGCAAGGCATTCACTATCTACACTCAACACCATTCCACGAGGACTGCACTAGGAGGACGTGTGTATAAGTAGACGAACAGTATGAAAAAAAGTTTTTGATCAAGTTTCCTCGGTTTGGAGATGCGGCTACTCATTAAAATGCTATTCACAATTGTAGTTTTATATTTCACACTTGGCCTACACATGAATTCCAAGGGCGAACTACAGTAAAATGCAATGTACTGTCCTTGTACCGACAGACTTGCCCCGGAGGAATCACGGTTGTAGTCGATTTAGACGAAGACCATACGAACACCAATACCAATATGTTTCGATTCTATGATTGTACAGACAGTTGTAGCCCCACTTTGCACAACCCCCATTCCGCCTATTGCTTAATGCGTCCTGAAAAAAGTGAGTTTGGCGCTTTGTTGACAAACCAAACGTGTGACTATATGCTCCAGCTATTTACCGGAATAAAAGCTCAGCTCATGCTCAAACCGCCGTGGCCATGGACTCTGTTCATGGCGAATCTTCAAATCAGAGTCCAGGATGTAGAGAAATTTGTCCTTCACTCGCTTCCACCGTGGGTAGTGGAGCCTGTGACATTAGGTTTCTATTTCTGTCATACATGCGTGGAAGAAATCACTTGGAAATAGGGCGGTTGTTCGAGACGTGGGAATACTACATATCAAACCCATCTGTCAACTAACTTTCGCCAGAAGAATATTCATGCAGTAACGTGCTCTGTAAAACCCAGAAGCATAGGAGCTGATTCTGATGCTTTGAAATTAGCACTCTTCAATCTGGAAATTCCAGTTCTGAGCATTATACATGGCGCATCATTTGTCACGATATTTTTATGCCCTGTCTAAAACCAAGTGTGGGAAGCGGCAAATAAAAGCGATGGAAGGTAAAACAATCGGTTTTTGATGAATTCGTTGAGTGTTTGCCGACTTTCTCTTCATATCGGCGATAACCTGAGAATTGGGACGTTCACGAAGAACATCTAAGTCTCCAATAGTAGGTCACCACGCCGCCCGTCGCCGTCCCTATGGTGTCTTATTTCGCGTAACGGCGGCGGCGTTTTGATAACATCACTCTTCACCCACATTTTCATTCAGACTCCTTAAGAACAGTCGTCAGCTTTCTCCTAATCGATTAGCTTCCACTATTGATTCACGAGACTAGGAAAATCGATTGGTTGGCGAGAGTTCGCATTTATACTCGTCACGACGGCGACGATGCGATCCGTTGACTCTATTGACTCCATGAAGGAGTCCGCCTATAAAGGTGTGATAGCTGTTTCATTGACGGCTACCATCATCTCAGCAGTTTTCCTCATCACAGTTCTTCCAATTGTTGATGATTTTGCCGAAACCAATAGTGCAATGTTAAAGAGTGACGCCGTCTATTGTGGGGTAAGTCGTTTGTGTTGCCATGGGTACTGTAAACCGCTTGACAGTAAGATTTTAGACGTCATCGGCAGAACTTTCATCACTTTTGATGAGGTTTGGAATCGATCATGTGAATTCAACAGTTAGGATAAAGAGGAAGACTGACGCAGAGTATGCCGACTACGAAACGGAGGATGAGAAAGTTTGCAAGTAGGTTCACATTGCCTTTTTTCCGTGCTCAGAGCATTGAATACAGCTCATCTTAGTATCACTGGTGAGCTATATGGGTGAATTCTATCTTGTTGTTGTTTGGAGTGCTTTTCTTTGATACGATTTGTGGCGTGATTGCGTTTGTGAACAAAAAGTGTAGAGTACCCAGCATACTAAGCTTCAGGACCATCTCTTCGAGGTATTCTACTCACTGTTTGAATATCTCGAAGAGATGGTCAACTTGAATCTGTTTCGAAGGTGGACTTTAAAAGTCTGAATGGGTTTAAAGAGTTGTCAAGCCTTTCCATCGGAATACGGCAAGGAAAGGGTTTTCTGGTCGCTATGGGGCAATCTTTGTTAGACTTCAATTCTCACTGCATAGTATTCGATAAATCCAAAGGGGCCTGAAACGATCTAACGTATTCTCCGAGTCAATTCCTGATTCTGAATCTCATTTGAACGATTCTCGTGCCATTTTTCTTGTTTCTTCTCTCGTGAGAACATCCAATTAGTGAATTCGATTGGATCCGATCGATTTTCCGAACAAATCGTAAAGTTTTACGGCACAGGTCTGATCGTAATCGTTTCGCATTTCCTCCCTTAATTTGCAAACTTTTTTCATTTCGCTCCTCGAACTCCTGAATACAAGTTCGTAAATTCTTTTATCTAATGGGTTTTGTCGATTTATACGCTCCCATGGTGATCGTCATATATGTAATGATAGCCGTACAAAAATCCACATAGATGACATTGAATGAAATAAGTAAGTGAATGGTGGTTGCTCACTGGGCGGTTTGGGTAGTACCACGGTATCTGAATCTCTTTAAATCATCCGGACTATTTCGTTTCTTCGATTAAGTGATCAAACTACCTTGGGCATGAACTAAGGTCTGTACAGACTTCTGTCTGGTCTAGAGTGTAAGTTTGTTGTTAATTTTACTAAGGTAGGCGACGAATAAATGCTCACAAACGTATAGTAATTTCCCGCAGTAACCTCGTGAGGCTTCCTCTATCATAGTTCTGAGCTCCTTCCATTGAAAGTAGCGGAAAGCTTCCAAAGTTCCCTTTCCCTTGTATGTCTTCACAATTCATTCACGAAACAGTAACAAGCCGGAACGCAGACCAGGATTTGCCGTTCAGGTACCGTATGCCCTGAGAAAAGCTTCCTAAACTTGAGCAAATATATGAAACTGCATAGCCGTTTCTCGCTTGCTTTGGATACTACCGTAAATAGTGGCGCATGGGTTATTTCCATAATGCCTCCCATAAGAAAAGAGTGCTTCAAGCTTGCGATAGGAGGTGACGGCTCATTGAATGCTCGGTTTTCTTGAATTTCAGTCTCTCACTTTACTATCACCATCAAAATGAGAAGTCACAAAATATGTCCGTCTATATGTTTCTATGAATATATTCTTAAAATTCGACCGCATTCCTCAACCGTAACGTCGCCCTCGATTAAGGCTACTTATAAGTAGTTCCCTATAAATCAAAGTATCTCTGCGGAGAATTTATCGGCGATTATTGCGCCATTTCCTGTTTCAAGACCGCCAAGTGGAGTAGTATAAGAAAACAGGTTTGAAGCCAACGGGATGGTAGTTTATATTTAATTGCTTCTTAAGGAATGAGGTCTTCGGCACGTTCTCTTGCCGAGGTGGTGTAGTGGCAAGTCGCACACGGACGGTCCGGTGACTGAGTTCCGTGTGGATGGGTACAAGCTCGGAACACAAAGGCTTTCCATCCGTTAAGAGTTGATCAATTCGCACCAGACTCGTTCGGGAAGACTGAAGCATTTACTTACATTGGTCATTATCCAGGTGACATTCAAAGCGCTTCAGTGGTTTTGGACGGGCCTCAAATGCGGAAACGTACCTACCGTATGGGATTAGTTGGAGTCAAAAGAATTCATACTCGGTCCTTTACTAAAGTCTTCTTGGAACGTAAAGGTACTCGTTATCAATTACCAAGCCAAGCTATGGCTGGTGAACCCCACGGTTCCAGAGTCGGTAGGAATACTTCCGCTACACCTTTTCTCATGTGAACTATTGGAATGGCGTAAACTGTCCCACTTCGAATCATTCTCGGAGTTCAAGTTTTTATCCATGTTGAGAAAAGTCGAAATCATCTTCCACGGCCTGGATTCATGCGCACACCTATGTATCGATAATCGTGTACGAGCTATTCATCAACGGCTAGGCTACTGCACTCATTGGAATGTCTCGCTTATCGTTTTTTTCAGATTGAGCGGGGTCATCCTTCACGTACATTAAACAGTTTCAAAAAAATTCGATCGATCCTTTCTGTAGATGTGCTAAGGGTTTTCTCTCATTTTCACGGGTACTGGACTATGAAAATACTCATTATATAGAAAACTTGCTCACCATCACTTTCGAGGGTCAGTGGTTTATTGGTTTGTCCGGATTTTGCAAAATCGAGCCCACCATGTCCCTTTTCTTTAACACTTTCCGAAATCCTCTCTCTAGAGGTCTACAGAAGCTGGCATAGATATGGCGAGGCTCGCAAGCCGTTATTGGAGAGATGTATACAGAGACCGCTTCTAAATGTCCCAAACGTTTTCAAAGACAAGGGGATAAGTGGTCTATTGTGGAAAGAAAAAATTATGGGGTCAGAAAAGCAGAATGAAGATGTCAATTCCCCTCATACTAATACTTGTTCGTCTCAAAAATTCTTGAGCACGGAACCAAGAAAAAAATTAGTAGTCTTTGNCGTTATTAGAGAGATGTATACAGAGACCGCTTCTAAATGTCCCAAACGTTTTCAAAGACAAGGGGATAAGTGGTCTATTGTGGAAAGAAAGAATTATGGGGTCAGAAAAGCAGATTGAAGATGTCAATTCCCCTCATACTAATACTTGTTCGTCTCAAAAATCCTTGAGCACGGAACCAAGAAAAAAATTAGTAGTCTTTGGTATCTCACCAGCCTTGTTTCTGTGTTGATATCTAGTCTAAAATCACTTCTCGCACAACTCTCCTCTTGGAATGCTCCGAGTTCTACTGCCAATGAGGAAACCTTCATGATGACTCCTAGAATTTCCTGTTACATCACCTTTGACGACAACGTAAATATGTAGCCAATAACATGGACTGTTACCAGATGCGGGGTCTACGTGGTAAGGTGAAGACTGTTGCCAGCGATCGACACCTGCCTGATAACTGGCAGGCAGTGTTCAACTGTTGACATTTGGGTGTGGTGCGTTAGGAACGAAATGGTCGCGTCGCGGTGAGAGGGGCGTCGCGCGCGAAGGAATGTAGCAGGGTGCAGCAGTAGGTAAGAAATACAAGAACAAAAGTACTAATAGTAGAATTATGAATAAAATAATGGTCGCATATCGATTGAGCTGTATGAAGAACGCCAGAGCTGTAATAACGGCGAATGAGTGGTCCGCGACAGCCGCGTGCGGCGAATCGATTACCCAAAATCGTTCCTAACGCCCGTCTCCCCGTGAACACAGATACCTCTAGCTACTTATTGTTAATCGTCACAACTTACTATCTTGGTTCTAGCTCTCATTCCTCAAAAAATTCACCGTTACCACCACCGACATTTCAAGATTGTTTCAGATGCGAATATCCTCAAGGACCACCTGGTTTACCTGGTCGAGATGGCATTCCTGGTCCATCGGGTACTCCAGGAGCGCCAGGATTACCGGCTCGCTTGCCATGTGATCCACCTATTGACTACGCAAAGGTTTGCCCAGACCCGTGCCCTACTGGCGTACAAGGAGCACCTGGAGAAACGGTTCGTTACTCCCTTACTTTCGCTTTCTTTAAGTTTTGATAGAGATTCTCTCCTTATTGATTGATTCCAGTAGACCTGCTCTAGTCTATCCTTTCAAATGACCGATAAAATATTATTGTTATAATATGATTCATACCTATTCGTTTTTCAAGAAATTCTTCTCTAATTTGAGGATATACAGAATTTAACGCTGTTCAGCAAGTGAATCTTTCAGGGCCCACCAGGAGACAAGGGTCCCATGGGTATTCCCGGATCGCCCGGAAAGCGAGGTCTCGATGGGAAGTTGGGAGAAAAAGGAGAGGTATGTGAGCAGTCAAAAGGAAAACGATGTCTTTTTTGGTTGTTATTATTACAGTAGTTTTTCAATTGTGCTCGGTAATCTTAGGTTTTGCATAGGAGTTTCTGAGGCACGGTAAAGCAGGCCCATCGAACTTGAATGGATAAGTAAGAGATGATACAAATTGAAACAGTTCTCCCTGGGTGGTGAACTTCTCCCGGAATTCCCATGGCCAGCGGCAGTGGTTCCGCGGCGACTGCGACACGCCGTTCGGGGAGAAGATATCAGACCCGTACCTATGATAAGCAAATTATTGATATCAACTCAGAATTACTTCCTTTACCTCTAATTACCTATAGTACCTCTAATTCAGGCCTCAAATTAGCAAAAAAACATTCACGGTAATGTACATCAATAGACGTTAGACCCCAAATAACGCGAATATAACGCGCTCAAATCGGAAAATCTTAACAGGTACTTCTTGTATAAGATAAAATCTGGGGATCTTCGCAGATTCCAATCTTTAAGCAGACAGCATTTCTGAGCTGTTGTATCGGTCATTCAAGACTAGCTTGTGGCGAGGAAATCAATTCATTTTATCAGCAAGTCGCGGTAATTGTTTCTTATGTCCTTGACACGGACACTGACAAAAATCAAAAATATCGTGCTATCCGAGATGACGAGATGATTTCGGTGGATGAGAAATATTTCAGCCAACACAGAATCACTTCATTGAGGTGCACTTCTCCTTAGATCTGTATGGGTAGGCTTCATGTGGAAAATGATGATTTCCCTTCTTCAAGCTATGGTTGTTCACTCATGGGATTGAGGGGTAACTCGGGAATACATTTGCCACTAATTTCTGGCTGAGAGAACGTAGCGCTTTTCTGCGTACCCCATACGGATAGCTTCATTCATAACTCTAACTTTATTGACAGCTTAAAAACAATTAGAGATCGATTCTCATTCGATTCCAGCGATTGCCCTCGTTTTCCATGTCTTTATAGTGTCGTACGGTTCAGCATACAGTGCAAAATCACAACTTTACAAAAGTCTTAAAAAATAGCTGAACAATCTGTGGAAGAAAGGATACTTTCATAACATGTGCAAGAAAGACCTTCAGTGTGTGGTCCCAAACCTACTTGCTCGCACTTTCGATGGGTCTCGCCTGAGGAGCTTAGCAAAAGTGATTGTCTTGCTCTCTTTATGAAAGTATAATATTCACGCCCCGTGTTTTCTGAATTATGCCGCATTCAATAGAGATATTTTTGTAAATTCATCGTTTTTCTCACTGCCCTGTGAAGAAAAGATACCTTCAGACTGGTCCACGTGGAATTCCTGGTCTTGATGGAGAAGTTGGCGATCCTGGAGAAGATGCCGTACCACAACCATTTATTCCCGGACCACCAGGAGAAATCGGAGATGAAGGTCCACCAGGGCCACCAGGTAATATTCTAATAGCCATTAAGCTGGGACTTTCTTAGATAATGTGTGCATAAGAGAAGTACTGGAATACAGGACCTGTTGGGATGCCCGGAATCGATGGGCCAATTGGACCTGCAGGGCCTCGTGGAAAGAAAGGAAAGGACGGATTTCCTGGCGCAAAAGGAGAACCTGGAGCGGAAGGAGCAATGGGCGAAGCGGGAGAGGACGGCGAGAAAGGGGTGAGGTTCTAACTAATTCGATATCATGCACGTAGTGAAATAGTTTGGAAAATTCATCAGTGAATCGCTCGAACGATTATATCTCAGGTTAAAATATTAGGTTGATGCATAATTATTGCGGATTTTTTCAACAAATTTTATTTAACGAAACGATAAAAATACTGAGCAAGAACATGTTCAAATAATTGCTCCGGAAATTATCCATCA